TAGACGGTACTTTGACACGAGGGTCATATCTTTTTATGTTGTAGTTAGTCTGGGATGATCTTTGATGACTCATATTTTTCTACAAGGATATCCTTGTAGCTGAAGCAGTTAGAATCAACATCAATTGATAAGGTGGAGGAAAATTAGGAGATGCTAATGACAACATGCTTTTGGGACTAATTAGAAAATACCAGGTTGAATTCACAGCTGTGATTAACAAACTTATATGTTCGTCGGTAGGATAAGAGAGAAAAGTTTGATCGAGAACTTGTTCTATATGATGCCTCAACTTGCATGCGTCGGCCTAGTGTTTTGTGGATAGTTTTTTTGAATCCTTTGTATGCGATCCTTTTTATTTTCAATTATGTTGATATACTCTCTAATCTTTTCGTGCCTACATATTCTCTTGATCAACTTTGATCTGACCAACTCATTTTTAAGATCTGAATTTTTGGAAAATATAGTAGCTCTTTTACTTCATGTTTTCTGCTTATTGCGTGGAAGCAATTTCTACATATGCTCTTTGCGTCTTGCCTTTTCATTTTCTAAAACAAAATTTCATTGCCACTGAATTGCAAGATATAGGCCTGATTCACTATGATTGGAGTAGCTAATTTTTACCACTCATGCATTCGTGGATATGTCAAATCTCAAACATGTCAAATTTTATTATAGTGTTTTTAAGGCTGACATTTCCTAGCCTAGACAAATGCTGTTATATTTATGTCGGCACGTTGATAGCACAGAGTACCATGATGACAGGCTGATTGCTAGTAGAGATTGCATTTTAATTGTGACGTAGGTATTTGGATATCATGCATTTTTTACAAGCTGTTATATGCCCAACTATATGGTGTCAGACGTGTATATATTTTTACCATTGAGTTGTGTAAGGCAGTGATCCCAGCTAAATTAAGAGCCTAGTTGAGTGGAGCTGTATGCTTCTTCACCATTAAGCCATGCAGGATAATATTTTTAGTTAAACTAAAAGCAGACTGTTAGCTTGTCATTACTTTAAGGACAATTTTCCTAGGGTTCTCTAACTTTCCTTGCAGCATGAATACTATCTGGGTCACCTCTTGCAACTAGCGCATGGTATAACCATTCAACAGGCTTTAGACAATCGATTTTTATGTTTTGGTCATAAAATAGTTGTTGCTTGATGAAGTTTAAGCCTGACCGATAAGTTATACAATCAGATTAAATCTGTCTTAAGTTTGCTTGATTTGCTAGGCTTCAGTTTATTGTTTGCCCCTGGTCATTCTGGTTGTGTATTAGTAATAAATAGCAGTAAATACTTTTTTCCATGGACTGTTTTTTAAAGATTCTTGGTTTATGGGACTCAGGAAAAAAAAAGGTAATGGAGAGAAGGGGATATTAAGTAGAAATTGCTTTTGACATTCCTTTCTATTTTTAGTTTACTTGTGGAATAGATAAAGATTGAAATATTGTGGTCATGAGTTTTGAGTTTATCCCTCTTTATAGCACAGGCAGTAACCCTGAGAATTTTTATAAGGTGAAATATGCTTGGTAAGTGATTGGTACCTTTCCTATTTTTGGTGTCGAGACATTCAAGAATGCCTTTCTAGGGAGGTAGTTACTTGGACAGGTGAAGGGTTTAATGCCGAATTAATCAACAGGTATGTCCCTGTGTGCGTCATGGTATTTAGCTGTGACTCAATATTTCACTGATGATTGGCTACAGTTGGGAACATTGAACTGGAGAGTATGGGACGACTCGATGCACGATGAAATGCTCTTGGTGATGTCAGAATCTTGTTAGGATATGATTGTAGCTGGATAGTCAATTGTTGATAAAGATTATATACCTTTGGCTTCTACCTCGGTATAACTCCATAACCTTATGATTCTTTTCCCTCTCTCAGGAAGAAGCTGCTTCGGTCAAGGCTGCTGGACGGGCATGGTACAAGACCATGATCTCAGATAGTGATTATGCAGAGTTTGACAACTTCTCCAAGTGGCTAGGTGTGACACAGTGAGTATTTGGCGATCAGCATTAGGCATTTATTTACAAGAAATTTTGAATCAAATTCTGTTTTTCTTTTTTATCGGCTTAATCATGGCATCGAGTAAGAACACCTATGGACATGATTGTTGGGTCATTTAGGCCTTAGGTTTCTTGCTTTGTTAGAGCTTGGGTTTGATAGATTATAAAATTTTCTATTGGTAGCAGATAATTTCTTTGTTGAACTATTCATGCATAAAGAGTTGGTTAAATAAAATACACAAGTTTTCATGATCACAACTCGAGTGGAAAAAATCGTTTTGGTGATTTTGATAGGGTAATAATGCCATCTGCAAAGTGAAGGTAATCAAATGTAAAGCTTGATTTGGTTATGGTTTGCTTCATTTCAAGGTGATTGATTTTTAGTTCCTACCATTGTGGAACTACATGCCTGTATTGTTTCTTCTTTGCCGGAGGATGGTAGAGGGGGCATGAATTAGTTACTTGTTAATCCCACCAAGTGTTTGCCAATTTGCCATTGTATATTACCCTTAAAGTTGAGTGTCGGTTGCTCAGCCTATTCCTCCTGTGAAGTTTGTATTCCTCGCCAGAACAAAATGATGGCTGTGAGAGAGAGAGAGAGAGTTCTTGTCATCCCTTCCTCTTCCATTCTCTTTCTTTCTACTTTCAAGGTATCATTTACTCCTCATCTTCCTATGAATGTATGTCTAATCTTGGGACCAGAACAATATTTCAGCCAAAATACTTGGATCTCCTACAGAACTTCTCATGTAGAAAAATACTTTGTTTGACAGAAGAAATGAGAATTATGATAACTTTTTTTCCATGAATATTACCTGTGTTTACTTTTTCATAGTGCTAACACAACTTATCTTTCTTTTTCTTTTTGGATTTTATTTTCCTTACAAAAAAGCTAACTTCTTATCTCTTTTCAAGATATAGCTGTTCAAAAATAAGTTGTGCATTTCCAACAATCCAAACAAAGAGAAGGAAACGAGTTTTCATTTCCTTTTCCTACTATATAAAAAGAAAACTTCCTGCTCATTTTTCGCCAGCTTTAATTTTCCTTAAGACACTGATCTTTATGTTTTCTTCTTTTAATCTGTGTTGATAACAGCATCTGGCATGTCAGATGAGTCACGCTTGGCTGGAGGTAAAATAAATATTTTTGGTACTCAGAATATTAGAAGCCTTGATGAACAAGACATCCTATCCAATCTACAAGATTTGCATATCTATCTTTTTGAGACTCTCTTGCTGCACAATCTGCTAGCATCCTATCCCTATTGTCTACTTACTGCATATCCTTGGTTGGCTTCAGGTCTATTCTTCTTCCATCTCCCGGACCACATGAAATGTTTAGCTTGTTCTTTGGCAACATTTTATTGTGACCACAATTCATTCATTCATAGCACACAATATTATCATGATGTTTTCAGTTCCAATTCGTCAATGTCAATCTCATTGGGATTTTGAAGATATGATCTATTCTTTGCCTATAGGGTGGTATTAAAAGCAATTAGTACTAAAATTATCTAAGTCGTGAAGCATCCGACAAAGTCTTAGAGCTGTTTAAATCCTGAAGTATTGTTGCATTAACTTTTCGGACTTAGTTGGGATTACCTTAGTATTAATTTGCAATCTAAATTAGTTCTTGAAAATAGAGTTTCTTTGAATCTACATTAGCTATGATGAACAGTGAGCTTGCGAATTTTTGTTGCACTCCACATCCTTAATGTTTTGAATTGGTTTCATCGTCACGTACGAATCTAATCATGATGATTATAAGGTCATATTTGATCAGACCGACCCACTTTCAAGGACCATAGATTGGGCCTTACGATCCGAATGCTAATGGCGTACCGGATTGGAACTTGATGATGATATGACAGGTTCGTTGATGATATGACAGGATTGATGATTGGTTAAATGTTTCTTATAGAAACCTTTTCTTTTGTGGTTGGAAGAGATTAACGTGGAGGCTTGAACAAGTGGAATTCTTTAGTCTCTAAAACTTTTTTGGTGGGGGTCTGATCACATCGACGACAGAAAAAATTGGTTTGACCCTAATCACAGGGTCTTATTCCAGTGGTAGTGCATTCATTGATTGATTGATCACGCACTGGACCAACTAACTCACATCTTCTACCTCAATTTTTCTTCCCTTTGTATTATTGACCTCAAAAAATCAATATCATTGTTTTATTTCAATTTGATTTATTGCACTACCCAACAAAACCTCTTTCTCTCTCTCTCTCTGTCCTTTTGCTTTTGTCATCTTAAAATAAAAAAAATAAAAATAAAAATAATTTCAAAGGAGGAAATCGAGTTGTGCTTTACAAAGAATTTAATTATAAATATATAAATATAAATTATTTTATTTTTTTATTAACATAAAATTATCGTGAATTGGTCTAAAATATGGTATGAACTTATTCAATGAAAGGAAGAAGACAATTAACAACGCACCGAAAGGGAAAAAGAAAAAAATAAGAGTATTTTGCCAAAAACAAAGAAAGTTCAATAATTTTCCTGAGAATTCATCATGCAAAAAAAATATTTAAATGATACTGTGTGTTCGAACTATATAAAGAACCGCAGATAAAAGTAACACAAAGGATTATTGTAGAGGAAGAAAATAAGAGGCAATCTCTCTCTCTCTCTCTCTTCTCTCCCATTCTCTCTCTCTCTCTCTCTCTTCTCTCCCATTCTCTCTCTCTCTCTCTCTCTTGATCTCTGATGTGATCAGAAACAGCTATCTTTGGATCAAACCAGCAGCACGCCGTCGAATAAGCGGTCGTGGTCCCCCGAATTCAAGCGCTGGTATCCGTCCCCAACCGCCGTAGGTCAGTCTCCGATCGCTCTCCTGGATAATCCTCAAATCTGTTCCTGTTCCGGGGCGACCCACAATGCGCAAAAGATTCCGTCTTTTCCCCTCTGTCGCTCCCAATCCTGCTCCCCTTCTTGTTTCCCAGTCCAAAATCCGAACTTGGTATGTTTTGTTTAGCGGAAAGGTGATGCCTTTGATGCGATTCTGCGGGTTTTTTTCATCCGGCAAAGGTGATGGGTTTTTGTTGTTATTTCCTGGAAGCCCCTAAAGATCTTTTCTTGGACGGATTGTTTCTACTGGGTTTGGGAATTCGGTAGGCTTTGATGCTCCCCGTTTCCTTTTTCTTAGTGCTGGTAGTTCGATGCTAGCTCATAGCCTTTTTCACTTCTCTCATTCGTTTCTAGTTGACATCTTTGGCGAATACTCATTTAATTTGAATTGTTTTTAGGTCCCAACTTCGTGGTTCCTAGGTTTTGCATCTCCAAGATTGTCTCAATTCTTGGAATCCTTTCTTTCTGAAGGTTTCTCTCAGTTTCCGGAATCAACTTTCTTGCATCATCGACTGTCTTTTTTGAGGATTTACATTAGCGGGGATACTAGTGAAATACTCTGCTTATTTGGTTGTTTTTATTGGCATCTTTAGATGAAAGGCGAGGATGGCATGCTGATATATGTTCTGTGCTGTTCGTCTGGATAAAAAGATTTCCGTGTCACGACATTGGAATGCTACGGTATTCTGCTTGATTTGATTGCTTTCGGTGCTCGAGTTATTTGTTGATTCCATCTCTGACTGATCATTCTGGATCTTGCAGGGAGTAATGAAGTTCAAAGAAGGTGATTGGGTGGAGGTCTTTAGAAGAAATGAGGAGCCATATGGCTCCTGGTTCCCTTCAAAAGTTCTATCGGTTGATGTTGACAAGTGTGCTGTAAGATGTGAGCTATCTGCAACTCCAGATGGAAGGCCCATAATAGAAAAGGTGCATGAAAGAGATGTCAGACCTTGCCCTCCCCATGCGCCTGGCACGGAGCATTGGATGGTTGGCGACATTGTTGAGGTGTTTGATGCACATTCTTGGAGGGTGGGAAAGATTGCTAAGGTCCTCAGTGATGATTATGTTGTGACCAAAATCTTTGGTTCGATCCAGCTTAAAGAGTTCCATGTATCTAATCTGAGGTCTCGACAAGCTTGGCAGAACAACCACTGGGTTATGATCAACAAGGTAAATGATTTGCACCTACCTCTGATCAACTTTTTCTTTCAGGCCTGTTATTATTGCCTTCCTTTGAGCTTTTCATGTGAATTTGTGATATGATACAATTCACTGATTTAAGTTCACGCTTCAATTGCATAAAGTTTACTAGTCATTTGTTTTTATGTTATTTTATTACCTTCACTTTTTTGGTTTGCCTTTATGGTTAGATACAATTCTAATATATGAGAGCAAGATGTTCTTGTGATATCTACATAGTTTGCATGCTCTTTGCTTTTCTTGTAACTTTGAATTAAACTTCATGGTGTTATCAACTTGGTTGCTTTGAAGTTAAGAGCATCCTAGATGGTGTTTATAAAATATACATTTTTTAATCTTTCTATCTTTTTTTACTTCCAAAATATTAGCACAGTGAACTCAAGGTACATCTTCATGCTTTGCATTTCCTCATTAAAGTGTATTATCTTGAATTTCTGTAGGTCATATGCTTGCCATCTGAAAGAAAGAAGGCAAGCTTCCTAACATGTCTTAATACCAGCTATTTGATGTCTAATTGGATAATTTACTTCATATGAGCTCTGTTAATCCGTTGTCACTAGAAGATTCAATTGCAAAATCAAGTTCCTTTTGGTTTCTTCTTTATCTCGTGTTATCTTGAGTATAAACTGACTCATATCTAATCAAGTCTTCTTTGAATATGTCAAACCCACTATAAATGAATTTCCCTCTTTTTATTTGTAGAACAGACCTTATGTTTTGTGAATACTATCTTTTCTTGTTCTACATTTCTTGATAATGTTGGACCTTCATATGAACAGCTATACATCTAATACACCACTTTTTTAAGTATGTTTTTTCCTAACTAACTAGCACCTACAATCCATCAAATATAATGATCTTATGCCTCATAAAGCTTTCCTTGTGATCTAAGAGGGTATTTGCTAACCATCATCCTGTTTGACAAAATATTGAGTGTTTTATTTTGCAATTTCTTCTTAACCTTCTATTTCAGCTAACTTTTAATTTCGTTTTTTTTTCTTCGTGCTTGTAAAGTTGTACATATGTTCAGACCTATTTATACTAAACTTGATGTAGCAGATAGGAATTTGCTTAAGGGTGATCCTTGGTGCAATTATAAATAAGAAAAATAAGACTTGTAACTCAAAATGTTGACATCAACAAATAACATGTGTCGCAAGACTTCGTCTTAAATATGTTTAGTAACTTCGTCCATTATGACATAAACAAGGGTTGAAGAGTGATTCTTGGTTTTACTTAAAGCTGGATAAGTGGAATCATGATTAGTGGCTTGGAACTCATGAATATGAGATACTGAGTGCTCTTCCTTAGAGAAGAAGACCACCTAGTTATACTCACGTTGCCAACTGCCATTAGTCTGTTACTCTGGAGTCTGGATTATGGATATCCTGAATAAAATGTTGGATTGCTTTGGTCACTCTGATGTCTCAAGCTAGGCTAACTAAAACTGATATTTTGGTGTTGGAAAATATCCCACCAGCTAAACAGGTCATTTTGTGGAAAATATCTGTTCTTCTTATGCTCAAATAAGAACAGTCCCTCATCCAAATTATATTAATGCATGAGAGAGCAATTGAACTTTTTTGTCTTTTGAGAGATAGATAGCAATTATATTTGATGGTAGATTTTAGTAGCTCTTTATGCTTGAACAATTTATTCCTTTCTTTCTGTGCTTCTTTCATTATGTAAAAACTATATCTGTTTTTTATCCATCTATGTTTACCTTCTCTCGGTAGATACTTTATGAACAGTTTCACTGTTGTTATATGCCTTCTATTTCCAAATACATGGTACATATGGAAGATGTAATACACTAAGTTGTTTGTCAATAACCTAACTTTGCACTAAAAACTAATGGAAATCAGTTTGGCTGTATTTATCCTCAGAGAACTCTGCAGGGGCATCTCAAACCCCAGCGTGTCTCAATTCATGATGATGAGATAAGAGGCACCGGCAGGAAAAGGAAGGCTAGTTCAAAAAATGAAGTTTATAACCTGCTTGACAGAAGAACACTGCAACAAAAATTAGATGATGTTACATTCTCAAAATCTACAGTTCGTGAAAATGCTACACTCCTTAAATCTGCTAGAGACAGAATAAATATGTATACTCAGATGGAAGCTGATAAGGTGTCGTCAGATGTGCATTTCAGAAATTCATCTGCAGTACCTACAAAGGTTACTGAAGAGATTGCTGAATGCTCTGTCGCTAGTTGTAGTGGTAATGATATAATAGAAACCGCTAATCAAAATACTAGAAGACATACCAGGGATATTGCCAGAAATACTTTTGATCATGCCATGTCTTTGTGCCCACATGAAGGTGGGAGAGAGAGCCAAAGGATTTCTGGAGACAAGTTAGCTGCCAGTATTCACGAATTAGAGCTACATGCATATCAATCTACCATGCAAGCGTTGTATGCATCCGGTCCTTTGAGTTGGGAACAGGAGTCACTTCTAACAAATCTTCGTCTCTCACTAAATATTTCTAACGAAGAGCATTTACTTCACTTGAGGCAGCTATTATCTACTGAAGTTCTTTGAGCCCTAACTACTTACCATCATGCTGCTACAAGGTCGAACAATGTTAGGTACATCTCTATCTTTCGGAAGATCACCTCCTGATCAACTTTATAGAGTTTATCATTTGTTATCGAGAAAGAATGATTGTAATGGCAGGCGAATTAATCATACCCTGCAATTTTTAGATAGCTTTAATCTTGTTTCCTTTTATATGCAATATGATTAAACTTTTTGAATGAAATTGAGTAGTTTTCCTGAAATCAATTGAACATTTTGTGACTATAAATGAACCTGAGCTGTTCACGGCACGGTGTATGAGCTGGTACTAACGATCTTCTAAAATAGTGAAATGTTTTTCAAGTAAATATGGTTTAACTTCTCAATGCAGAGGTACCTAAATTCTTCTTAGCTATGCTTCCTTTCTAATTAGCTCTTGACTTTGCATGGTTTGAGGAAGTGGATTCTCTTTGGATTCATTTGACAGTGGCTTTTAGTTTGTTTATGCGATTCCAGTCATACCATTTCAAGTAATTATCTCTAGCTTATTAATAGGGTAGTGCTCAGCTAGCAGATTTTTTTTTGTTCACCTAAAAGACATGTACATGCTTTTATATCATTGTATGAGAGAAATAAGCACCATGTTTTCATAATCCACAGACGCAGAGTTTCTATGATCTTTGTCACCAAGGTTGGACTGCTCTGAGGGAGTCATGATTAGGAAATGGTACACATTGTTCTATGACTTGCCATGCCGGTGTTATTCATTTTAATATATGACACTGACTGACATCAATTTTACAAAGCTTCAAAACACATCAGATTTGACAGTGTGGTATGCAAATTTAACCTCTTACAGAATATGCAGTCTTCTTGGTCATTATTATGCATTTTATGCTTTTTGATAATTATATTATCTAAGTTTATAAAACATATTTTCATGCATAAAACAGTTAATGCCCTGCTTTCTTAAGCTCTACCATGTCAGCCAGCTAGTGGTAGGTCTCTGTGTCATGCCTTCATATTTTCTTACTGATACAAATGCATTTGTCATCTTGAGGTTATATTTAGCTAGATACTGATACAAAAAAATAATCACCTTCATGTTGGGTATCATGTGGTTTCAGTTTAGGAGAAAAAAGAAGGGAACTATTTTATTTCTGGTATGAAAAAAAGAGAACTATTTCATTTCTGCCACATAGAAAAAGAGGAGAGGAGAAGAAGAAAAGAGAGGCTTATTCTGGATCATCTTTTTGCATGCACACAATAAAGGAAGAGCAAAAAGAAGAAGCTCATTCTTGAATATTGTTATGTGAAGGCTTAGATTACCTGATTGGACAATGAGTTTTAGGTCTCTCTCTGATGGACACCGATACATCTCTTTGATTTACTCCAATATAAAACAGCTTAATAAATCTTATTATTTTGCCTGAGAGATTATGCTGAGAGTCAGATTGTTTCCCATATCACCAACAATCATGGATTAATCCATTCAGATTCATCTAACACTACAATTTTATTATCCTCTCTTTCCTTCTTTCTATACCTTTTTGTTGTTATCTCATACCTAAAATATTATTGCCATCTGCTCACTAAAGATCAAAAAAGTTTGAGGGTTGGAAACATCAACCATACATTTGATATCTAAAATTTTTTGTTTGACAATAGTATACCAATAAACTTATCAAGATTGAGAATTAAAGACCACCTTATTCGGTATTCTTTTCGAAGATTTAACGATCGATAACAAAGTCTTAGATCAAGAAAAAAAAAATTAGTTCCACATCCATTCAAAAAATTATATACTTTAAATATTTGTATATTTCAAATTAGTTCGTGCTGATTAACCCAAAATTTCTCGTCCAATATTAACTAGAAAAAAGTATATTAAGTGCATCTTAATTAATCGATGGCAATAGTTGAACATCAACGATATATTAAGCATTTCAAATTAGTTCATGTTGCTAAACCTGATTTTTCTTAATATATATCGAGATATTTATGTCGTCATTGATGGTATCCACGTACGGGTCGGATCCATATAGCTTTAGGTCCGATTCGGTCGGGATCCTTATCGGATCCCGAAACACGATCGGTACCTGCCAAAGTTCCCATCTCGGTATCGGGTTTCCGGTTATTACGTTACGGCCGCGTCCCCTGCCCGCGGGCGGCACGGATCAAACCCCGATCAGCCTCTTCACACGCGTCGCTTCGCACGTGCGCGTGATGGGCAAACTCGAAGCGACGCGTGAGACCGGAACGAAAGCGCGTGTGGGCGGCTGCTGTCAGCGACGACATCGTACTGCGCACTCCAAAATGACCATCTTGTCCTCACTCGTGCTTTGAGATACGCGCAAAGATCTTTGATGGACGGCGACCGTCGAATCTATGAACTCCCGAAAGCCAATTCAAACTTTGATGCTCACAAGGTCATGGATGGCATTTCTGTCAAACGATAACCGGTAAACGGAGCTGGGACTGTGTTACGTCTTCCCCCCCCCCACTTGCCGTCTTCTCGGTGCCCGAAACTCCAGCTGTTCACAGTTGGACATGAAGGAGGACAGACCCCTAAACAATGGCAGAGATGCCTGAGATGGAAACAGGAGAGAAGGGGACGAAGGGAAGGAAACAAAGTGGGTGGTCATTCAATGAGAACCACCACTGCCTTGAGTTCGATGTGATCCTTTTTGCTTGTTCATCTTAATCTTTTTGAATCAGTTGTGTGAGAAGAAAAAGATCATTTCTTTGACTTGTCGGTCACTGCGCGGGTTTGACAGGGTCAAAATGACTCCTTGGCCTATAAAGAGGCCAGCAGACGGTGTTGGCTCTACTCATCCCATTCCAACATCCAAAGCTCCTGGAGGACTTCCCCACTCATCATCTTCCTCCTCCTCTTCTTCTTCTTCTTCTTCTTCGTAGATAGTTTCTGGTATGGATCTTCTGACAGAGGAGCAGATCAGTGAGTTCCAAGAAGCTTTCTGCCTCTTCGACAAAGATGGAGACGGTTTGCTCTTTTGATCCTCTGTTCTCTTTGTGTCTCATGGTTAATCAGTTTATGTCGAATAGATTGCAAATCTTATAAGCTTAAGGTGTGTGCATGCATGTTTTTGGCTTCCTCTGGTCTTTTCCTGAGTGATATAAGATGGATCAGTGCATACATAATGCTGCAGCTATTTTTATGTTATGCTGTGAAAATGAAGATCTTGATCCCCAGTGTTGTGTACATTATTAACATGCAAGTTTCATCTTGGAAAAGAGGCAGTCGATGTGGATTGTTCCTTGGTCTGGAACGCATGCTCATGAACTGGTCAGGGTCCAAAAGTCCAATCTCATGGAACACCGGAGTCTTTTGCTTTGACCTGTTCCAACATAAACACTAGAGAGAATTATGACCATCAAAAGAATCCTTAACGTGTCAACCTCATCGTGTTTTACCTGCTCCTCAATGGTTCCTTTGCCTTCGGTTGGTTTCGCAGGGTGCATCACGCTGGAAGAGCTTGGCACGGTCATCAAATCATTGGGTCAGAACCCGAGCGAAGAGGAGTTGCATGAAATGATCCGGGAAGTAGACTCGGACGGCAATGGAACCATAGAGTTCGGGGAGTTCTTGAATCTGATGTCCAGAAAAGTGAAGGTAAGTCACCAGCAAGTCATGTTCTTGAATACGGTGGCCAGTTCGATCGATCATGTTCTTCTCTGCAGGAGACTAATGTGGAGGAAGAACTGAAGGAAGCATTCAAGGTCTTCGACAAAGATCAAAATGGCTATATTTCAGCTAGCGAGGTAATAGTTAAGACGCTTCCGTCTCCCCTTTTTGCCCGCCATCTAATCTTTTCCTGTTCTTGCTTGCGCAGCTGAGGAATGTGATGATGAATCTGGGAGAGAAGTTAACAGACGAGGAGGTGGATCAGATGATCAGAGAGGCCGACTTGGACGGAGATGGGCAAGTGAATTACGAGGAATTCGTGCGAATGATGATGGCTGTCTGATGCACATCCATCCTCCTTGTGTCTCAAGGAACCACAGTCTATTAACGTTGTTTTGTCGTAGTAGCAAGTCCAGTCCTATTTGTCGATTCTTTTCTTCCCAATTATGCACCGGACAAGTGATATTTTCTTGTGATCTGATCGAGAATCCTTTGCCCAAAGGAGATGTGTGCCAGAGGAGGTGCTCTCAGAATCACAAACACAATTTGCTGAGTTTTATATTTGTGATCAAAGCAGATGACCACTGCAAGTTTAATCTGATGACTACTTCTTCCAACAAATAGATGAACTGTGTGTGTGGAGTGATCAAAACTGCATCTCTGTTCTGATCGACTTTATCAGAAGCTTTGCTGATGGCAATCGACTCTGGCATCATTCGAAACGATGGTGACCGATCGACAGCGGCCAAGCTCGGATCAGAACCCGAGACTTGGTGTGCAAGTTGTAGGAGTCTCCACATCTGCTTGTTTACACCTTTTCTGAGTCGAGTCTCATGTTGCTTTTAACTTGAATGGAAAAGTTCCCTTCTTCTTCTTCTTCTTCTTGTTGCAACAGGAAATAGAGATCAGACCATGCTCTGTGGATGTTAACTTCCATCATGTTTATGGGATGAAAAAAGAAGTGCAGTGGGTAATTACTAAAATAAAGACTTCGATCCCAGAGAAAAATACATGGATCGAGTGTGACCTGCACTACTGGTTGCAGTGATTGGGATGCATTTGGAGAGTTCAACCAGGAGAGTCAAATGGGCTAAGTCAGGTCAGATGTTGTGTGGACTAGGTAGGAGGTTGTGGAAGAGACCCAGGCAAACTTTTGAATGGAAGACCAGTGTATTTGTGGTATGTATGCATGCATGCATGCTTGCTTGCTTGTTGGAGGGGGTTGAAGTCAAGTCTAGGATTTTATTTTATTTTTCTTTCTCTGCATGATTGATTTTTATGTCTCCTCAGCTTAAAATTCTGACAGTTGCATGGGTTTGTTCCTTAGAACAAGGGCTACAATATTGAGAAGAACATGAGTTCTCTCTCTCTCTCTCTCTCTCTCTCTCTCTCTCTCTCTCTATATATATATATATATATATATATATATATATATATATATATATATATATATATATATATATATATCAATTAAAAATAAATAAATATCCAAATAGGATTCAGACATCAAACTACTTTGGATAGAGAAGTAATAGTTTGTAGAGTTTGGGATCATGTTACTCGACCTATTACCAAAAAAAAGAAAAAAGAAAAACTATATCATCAACTTTTGG